CCAAAAGTATACAAAGTATTGTCGACCGCGACACGAACGTTGCGCGGAAGTACGGATACCCGGGAGGTCTTCGATGGAATGCGATCAGCGTCGCGGAGATATTCGAGCCTGTGCTCGCTTACTGGGAAAAGCGCGTGGACACGGACAAGAGCATGCTCGAGCGTTTGCTCGACACTGGCGTCTTGCTGGAACTAATGAATTTGTTTGTACACATGAATAGAGATGAATTTTACTCCACGCACGTGTCGGTCAAGTGCAAGTCGTGCCTGGGCAAACTCTGTACAGTTAAGAGGGACTTGTACAACGCCGTGGTGATGAAATGCAGATTCGTCAGTCTAGTATGTAAGTTTCCCGTTAAAACTTGCCGGCGAAAGCGTGCGCTGTTACTAGGAAAATTATGAAGCGGAATGTCAAGTGGGTCATTTGTGAAATGAAGGAATCCGAATGTAAGTATTGGAGACAATCGTAGAACACGTGTCGCAATTTAACTTACAACGTAGGCGTACTGTCTGAACATGTGTACGAGGAAAGCGTGTGTTTACTGTTTGTTCACCTTCTTGTGCAGTTGCATCTCTCGACTCGACGGAGTTGAACCGAGCCCTACAGATTCTGAGAGCTTCAGGAATCTTGAGAATATTATCTCTTTCGTGCTGGACAGATTGAGCATTGTATATTACAGCAATAATTTGTATAGGTAAGCTGCGACTGTGCGCATTGAATGCCTTGTTAACGTATAACCAGTCAAACACAAAAGCTTTTCGTAGAGATGGGTGCACATTAAGAAAATTACGTCCAAAGAAGTCGCAAGCTTGGCTATGCTGGACTGCTTGACCAGTGATGAAGATGAGATAAAGAGCGAACTGGGACTTTCAATCGATATCTCTAAGTACGACGTTACCGCGTTGTGTCTGCGTGAAGTCAACAGTTTACTGGAGGAACAGATCGCATTTGCGAACGGCGTGGCAGCGGTTCTGGAAAAATTGAGGAAGCTACAGCCGAGTGATCAATATGCACACACGGTGCAGTTATTATAGGGTATTATTTCTTAGGTTTCACTTACGAGAGCTCTATTCTGGAGTACCACGAGTAAGCTATACACGATTTGAAGCAGAAAAAGTCGAACTCCGTAGCTGTTCTGTGCTCGGAAGCTAATTTAAGTCTTTTTATC